CATAAGGACACACCATCCCCTTTCACCTTTGAAAGTAATATTAAAATGAGTTGGCCATTTAACACAGTAGCCCTGACATCTTCTAAATCAACAACTACTGCCCAATCTCAGCTTCTCGTGATCCACAATAACTCAAGTGCTACATATAATATCGTTCTGACCTCTTAAAACTCAGCCTAGGAGCTGTGAATTTAACCCACTAACAGACTTAAAGGCAAATGACCTTTTGTGTATTTACAAAGAAAAATATTCTTGGATATTCAAGTAAAATAAACATGTAACACTACTTCTAAGCTAAATATCCATTCTAGAACTTCCTGGCCAAGAGATCATCACTTAAGTATCTATTGCACTGTCTCTTGCTGGTAGAGTATATTTGATCTTGATCAAAACAAAAGGAAAGTTTAAGAACTGTTTCCTATCTCTAACTGAGCAAAAATAGTTATGGGATGATGCATCTCAAAGGAAATGTTTGCACAATGTAAATATATAAATATGCTTTTTGTGCATAAATATTTAAGAAAACTGGACTACAAAGATTACTTTTGTATGAAGCCCCTAAGTTTCTTTGGATGTGAATAACTCCTATTTTATCTTGCATTTTCTGTCTTCATATAATGTATTTGACCGCTAAATTCATATAATAAAGTTTGCTTTTGAAAGAATCCGCAGAGTTCTGCCAAACCAGTCAATCCAGAGTCAAAGATTGCTGCAGCAGATGACTCGGCATCGGGCAGCACGGACACATCTGGCAAACAATCCATCCCCGTGGGCCAGTTTTGTGAGCAAGGGAGAATATGGAATAATGGCACAGGAGGCACACTTTCTCACACAGCAAAGCAGATTTAGTGATGGACACTCATACCGCTCCCTGTGTGAGCGACATCCCCTAGATTCAGCCTATGGAGTGCTTACTGTTGTCTAGAGGCAAAAATTCAACTCTGCCTCTGGGAGAGGCAAGGTTTCATGGTGGGGGAAGACAAAGCGCCCCATTGACAAACATCCATTCAACTGCTCCCCGTGCCTGGTTACCTCTGCAGCTAGAAGATCTGGTACAGACAAAAGCCCAGCAAACAGAGCTAAGGTGTCCCCAACGAAGCCCATTCTGAACCAACTGTGACACGAGTTAGCACCTTAGGCCTGGTAGATGCTTTCTCTTCCTTGGAGAATCTCCATATCCTCACCCCATCCATCAGAAGCTGGGGGTGCTGCCTCCACAGAGATGTGCCATCAAGTGCTCTCTGCTATACAGCATTTTATAATCTGAGGGGATCTCTTATGTGGAGATAAACTACACACAAGTGCTGGAAGGAAGTGGAGATGAAGCTTTCTCAGGGCGGGGGGCAGAACGTAACAGGATCATCCACTGCCGCAGTTGTGTAGCTGTTGCTGCACATTACCATGAAGGAAACCAGAGACTAGATAAGTGCATCAAATCAAGCTCGCTGCAGCTTACATAATAAAATTTCTAAAACACTGCAATTTAAGGGATAATGATTCCATGTTAAATGTATGCAGGGAGTATTGACAATTTCACATGTATTGCACAAAATTTCATGTTACACAAGCATGGTCAGGATGGGATGGGTATAGGAGATTTTACCCCGCCAGTAAATCATCTCACCTTTGCTGGTTAACAATACAGAAAAATAATTCTGGGAAATGAAGCTGTCATGACTCCACATGCAAATTGTTAGAGAAATTAATATACTTTGCTATCGGGCAAAAAAGCTCAAACATAAAAGTAAGGGTACATTAACAGAGTTTTCAAAATTAGGGCTTGTCTAGTAAAAGCAGACCTGATCCGACAGAAGCAGGTAAGACTTGGGAGTTAAGAAAATGTGTATTAGTACGATTCTAGTCAAAAACATCTGTAAATTTCAGGACATCTGATGTGTGACAAGCACTAAATGCACTTTGTGACTCATGCTTGTTAAACTCTGCATTGCAGACAGACAGAGTGAATACAAAAGAAATATGAGAGAATGAAATACAATTCCAGTACCAAAGTCGAAAAGCCCTGTATCCAACTTCAGAACTTCACATTGTCAAAAATAAGGCCACATTATTTCTGGTATTCTTTATTAAAAATACTGCTGTACACATGAAGAATGAAAACAGGATTAAAGATGAGTAACACATATTGGGATCATGACATTTAGAACTTAACATACTGGTGCTTTTTAGGGGAAGCAGTTGACACCTGAATTACTGAAACAAGGGCAAATCAAAAATACATAGGTACCCTCAACAAAATATTTACAATATAGTAAATACAGCAACAGAATTTGAAACAGTTACAAAAATTAAAATGACCAACATCAAATGATTTCAAAGGTTGTCCCTTCTGTGCTTTTAGCTGTAAAAAATAGGAAGGTCAGAATTAAATTTCCCATCTGGGAGGGCACATCCTGGTGGCTGCTCTTTTTAAATACAGATACACAGTTCTTCCTATGAATGGATCAAACTACAACTTTAGGACAACCTTCTACATGGAATTAAAATGGGGTAGAAGGGCTCTCCCCAAAAAAACACCCCAGCTGAACTTCAGACTGTTCAAATCATTCCCAAATACAGACCAAATGAAATAAATAGAAAACAAAGCTCAACTTTTATTTTATGTATTACCTGACACCAAATATTTTCTGGCTGACATTATGTATGAAAACTTATTAGCTGTCTACCTTTTTATTTTTAAACCAAGTCCTGAGGTTACTAGGGGCTGAAGCAAACTGACATTATGCAAATACACACAGGTTTGCAATTTAGACATGTCTTGCAGAGGGTGGTTTGCTGGTCTAAAAAGGATGAGAATTCAAGCCCTATTTTACCCCTGCCTTACACTTTCACAAAATATTGGTCCACAAATTAAATTTTCAAAGGTTCCCAAACCCCACAACTGAACAGATGATCCCCTTTCATTTTCAAAGAAAACAATACTGGAAAAAACCTCAGCCCGCTTATAAATTAAGCATTTCATATTTCTTCTAGAATACAAGTACTTCTTTTTTGTACAAAAGAATTACAATATGATTTGTCAAAAAACATATAAAAGACAGCTGCTCTTCCTCAAATACATGAGCTAATGATAAAAGACTGTTTTGCATGTTCACTTTTCAAAGTTCCTGTTCCTTTTATATTAAAAAGAACATTCTGGCAACTGTTATCGTTTGAATATTAAACATTATGTTCCTTTTAAAATTCATTCGATCAAATGCAACAATAATCGATTTTTAAACTCAACAACTGATGCTACCTAATGTGGATTCAACCACATTTTCTAAAATGTGTAAAGCATGTCCCTAGTCTTCAAAGCTTTCGATGTGAAGAGAGTTGCTTTTTTCTTGATGCAAGTCTCAAGGCGGAGAATCATTTTAAAGCTTATAAAAGTGGACAGAGAAATATTAAAAACTTCTCTGAAAACTACAAATATTGAGAATTATTAAAATTGATGTCAGTAACATCAGTTGCAAGTGCTTAGAGTCTGTCCTGACCTTTTGAGTTTCCACATTTTCTTCATGGTGAGCACCCAGTGCTATTAAAACATTCAGTGCTGGGAAAGGATAGATACAGTCTTCACTACTGCTTTAAGAAAGGAAATTCCTACATATTTGGCAGTCTTCAGTATCAAAGTGTAGGTGTTTAACTAGAAATCCCATGAATACCCAAGTTTGGAGACAACTGCATGTCCAAATATTAGAAAGGTAATTGAGGAGGAAAATTCCAGACTTTTTAGACTGAATTACTTCAGGAATATTCATGTGTTGAGTATTATCAAAAGTAATATTACTTTGG